AGACTGGAAAAAGAAAGAGAAACAAGGGAAAGGGAAATGAGTGTGGGTGTGTGTGTGTGTGTGTGTGTGTAGGGGTGGGAGAGGGCGAATGGGGAAGTGGGGTGAGGAGGCTCCTGTGCTTCCTTCCTCCCCAGCTCCTCTGGCTCCCTCGACAACTCTTGGCTCCAGATAAGGGTGGATACAGGGCAGATGGCCAGTATGCTGAGCCTCTTTATCTATTTAAACCACTCAGAGCTAGCGGTAAATTCAATATCATATGTATTTGGGTCCAGCCTTTTTCCTTCAACATTGCAAACCTTGTGCTTATAGTCCATTATAATCTTTATGGGACCATCGTCATGTATGTGGTCGTTCATGGAAACATCATTATGAGGCTCGTGATTATACGTTAATCTAGAGCTATGCTGTCTAATTCTGTAGCTACTAATCATATACAGTTATTTAAATATAAATTTAAATAAATTTAGTTCCTTAGTTACACCAGTCACTTTTCAAGTATTTAATAGCCACTTATGGCTTGTGGCTACCTTATTGGACAGCATAGATTATGGAGCATTTTCATCACAGAAAATTATATTGGATAGCACAGGTCTAGAGAGAGATGATTTGGGCTTGGAGTAGTGTGGAAGTATAGTGTTAGAGTGGATAGATTTGAAAAATATTTTGGAGTTAACTGGCTTGCCGATGTGATGAATCAGGAATTAGTCCAAGGTTTTTAGCTTTTGCCGCTAGATGGATGAGATTGATTAGGGAAGGAGTAGTATAGTTGGAGGGATGAGAATCAAGATTTGTGTTTTTGCCATGTTATATCTGAAATGCTTATTGACCATGTAGTTATACCTAGATGCAGATCTAAGAGTTTGATATCCAAGGGAAACAGCATAACCAGATATATAGATTTGGGAGTGTATTAGTCTGCTAGGGCTGCCACAACAAATACCACAGACTGGGTGGCTTAAACAACATTTGTTTCTCACAGTTCTGGAGGTTGGAAATCCAAGATCAAGATATTGGCAGGTTTGGTTTCACTCTGAGGCCTCTCTCCTTGGCTTATAGACAGCTGCCTTCTTGCTGTGTCCTCACGTGACATTTCCTCTGTGTGTGTGCACCCCTGGTGTCTCAGAGGGACATCAGTCATTGGATTAGGCCTTCACCCTTATATCCTCATTTAATCTTAGTTACCTCTTTAGAGGTGTTGTCTTCAAATTGTCACACTGGGGGTTAGGGCTTCCACTTAAGAATTTTGAGGGCCTCAGAATTCAGTCCATAATAGGGACTAGTCCACATGTAGATGTTACCTAAATTCATAAAAGCTAAGGAGATGTGTGTGTAGAGAGGAGGATATAGCCTAGGCAAAGCAACATGTAGAGGTCAAGCAAAGGAATTCGAGCTAGCAAAGGGGACTAGAAGGAAGCCATTGAAGCAAAGGGCAAAAAAATGTGGTGCCTTGGAATAGATGAAAGTGTTTCAGGATAAGAGGGTGTTTTTACTGGGCAGAGAGCTGCTGAGGCTCTGGGGCAGGTAGGAATGTAGGATGTTGAGAAACTGAAAGAAGACGAACTTAGTAAGTAGTAAGAGGTATAACTGAAAAAGTGGTCTGGGGCCTTGAAGTCTTTGATATAGGTGTTGGTTTTAATCTAAGAGAAATAGTTATGGAAGAGTTTTCAGCAGTAGAATGCAAGATTCTGATCAAGATGCATGTTGTTAGAAAGATCACTCTGGCTATTGTGTAGAGATCCGTTTAGTGGAGAAATAAATACAGTGGTTACTGATGAAGAGTTAAGGGAGTGATACAAAAGAAGTAGGTGTCGAGGTTGGATTGTTGTATCCTTTATTGGCGTAGGTGATACTGGAAGGAGATGATGGGAGTGGGGAGAGGTCCTGAATTCAACTTTAGACCTATCTTGTTTGAGGCGGTAAGGGATATTTCTATTTATAGTAGTATGCTGCTGATTCTTTCAAGTCTAGGAACTTCTTGTCAAATAGAACTAGGAATAATGTGAACGCTTGTGTTTTTGTCTCAACTTCATTAAAAGAAGCTATCTTAGAATAGATATATGGATTTTAAAACTAGAGAGTCATAATTGTTTAAGGAGCTCTTAAATACCAGAAAGGAGTGTACTGGCAGGTATTTGCATATATGCTATTTTTAGTTGTTACCAGTAGAGAGAATAAGGGAATTTAAAAAATATTAATGCTTAAGAAAAGAGTAGAATGCAAGTGATTTTATTAGGTATAAACTTGTTCAATTAGTAGGACTAATGGTTATTGCATCACTTTAAATATCTTGACTATTAGATGATTGACTATTTGGAAAATGATTTAAATGGTAATATTGAATTTTCACAGTACTATAATAACCTTAGATTATACATATTTTTTCCTGTGATTATCATTTGGGAAGAATATTTCAATTTTTACCTATTTCAGAGACTCTTTAAAAGTAATTTGTAGTGAGAAAATTTAGGTAATATTTAGCAAGTACTTATAGACACAGCATTATGCCATCAAATACTGTATCAACCTCTATAGAAATGAGACATGAAAATTTTGAAAAATACCCAAATTTAGTTAGGACACTTCATATCAAGTCTTTTGTGATACTGCATTGTATAGTGCTTAGTGTAATTTTAATATAGATTTAAATTCCAGAGAGAAATGTCAGACTGATCTAAAGTAAAGTTATATTCATTTCTTTCATTTGAATCGTTATCTCTTTTTGTTACTGAATTGCAGGACTATTCCCTGATGTGGGTGGAGGTTATTTCTTGCCAAGACTTCAAGGAAAACTTGGTTACTTTCTTGGATTAACAGGATTCAGGCTGAAAGGAAGAGATGTACACAGCAGG